TTAAAGTAATTGAAGAAGATAGACTGTTACATCTAAACATGATGCTGTTTTTGGTCCATTCTAATTGAACGCTTTTTCTAATCGACCAGCTGGGTAGGGCTGCTAGCCAACACTAGAAAGAGCGATAACAGTTACTGGACGTGAAAAACCTATTTTTCTAAAACAATTTTCATAGAAAGATTTTATAAATTTCAACTGACAGTAGCACTGGCTGTTGAAAGTCCTCAAGTGATGTGGTTTCTGTTATTTTTGTGATTCTGTAGCGCCAGACCATGAAGTTCAAAAAAGGATGGCCCTTCAAGACTTCATTCCCTCGAAAAATGAGTTAAGTTGAGAGTGTTAACTTAGAAGGTACATTTCCAATCAGTCTTGTGAGTATCAGATTTTCCAAACCCTTTTTCCTCATTGTGCCCTAGAAATTTCAACTCTCTTTTTTCTGATGTTAATTAGAAGTGTCCTTTTTGTTTGCATTTTCTCTAAAACTTGGCCGTTACACACGTATACTGACCATTGTATCCTCATCATCCCCCTGTAGAACCACATTTCTGTTGCTTCAAGTCTCTTCTTCATCTTCTTTTTCTTTTGAGATGATTGTCCAATATTCAGTGCCATATATGATGATAGATATCATGCAACAGTAGAGTACTTTTTTCTTTGTTTCTAATGATATTTTTTTGTTTGTTAATATTCTGATTAGCTTTTGGTTATGCCTATACGATTTTGGATTTCAGGATTTAGAGCCCACTTCGCGGTATTTTCTTCGTCCTCTCTCTCTCTCTCTCTCTATCTCTCTCTCTCTCTCTCGCTATCTCTCTCTCTCTCTCTCTCTCTCTCTCTCGATTAAGTCGATTAATTTTTTTTTGCTTTGGAGTTTCCGGTAAACTTTAAAGGTAGATATTTGTTTATTTTATGTTCATGTGTGAATTTGATGGTAGGCCCGAAGGTATTCATTTTTATTGATGATATTTAGTAGATTTTGATTGTAAGAATATATTACTGATTGATTCGTTTTCTACGGGTTAGGTACCAACTGCAGATTATTTAATGCCATCCACCCATTTATATATATATATATATATATATATATATATATATATATATATATATATATATATCAACCAATACACGGACGAAACAATAATGATAGTCTGTTTTTGTTGCAAGAAAATTTCAAAGCAACAACAAACTCGTGTATACGAGACGCGGAAGCCAAAATCGCGTCACGAGCTGCGACGCGATTTTCGCTTCCGCGTCTCGTATACACGAGTTTGAAATATATATATATATATATGTGTGTGTGTGTGTGTGTCTGTGTGTGTGTGTGTGTGTGTGTGTGTGTGTGTGTTTTGGCAGCAATCCTTCTTTCATGCACATTTCATTGAATATGATAATTTTATCTAGTTTTTATACAAATTCTCATGCGATCTAAATTTTTTTCTTTTCGGGTGATAAATAATATAAAAACTGTCCGAATGCTCTTTTTATCCGAGTGCTTTCGGCTATTCATTTAACCATTTTTCAAAGATTAAATAGTTTAACAGTTAAATAAGAAATAGTTTGTTGTATTATGTTTTATAAAATGTTTTCATTTTTCAAAACACGGTCAAGATATTGTGTCCATGTTCAAAGTTAGTATTATTAAGTGTATTTTTTTTTTGTTTTTATTAATAAGGCTTCCATTATTTTTAGCCTTTATTTGCATGTAGATGATGCTATTATATTAGTTTTGTCAACAAGAATGTTCCGGATATTGTCCGGTAGGTCTCCATGAATATTTAAATGAGATCTAATTGAGCTATGGTCAAAAAGGTATAGAGTTAGTCTGCGTGTCAAACATGTTGTAGTGTGGCCTATATAATTATTTACAAATTTTGATTGAACAGGAATACAATTCCTTAATGGGCATTTAAATTATATATATATATATATATATATATATATATATATATATATATATTATTATTACGACATTATTATTTAATAATATCTATTCATTGCGACACAGAAATTGCCATGTTTCGAACTAAAAACTAAACTTTATATATATATATATATATATATATATATATATATATATATATATATATATATATATATGCATGTATGCATTTATGTAATAATCAATTCACCACAAGCAAGGCGATAATGCCACTAAGACGCAAAAGACTATTGGAAGTGAAAGAGAAGAAAGACACTTTAGAAGGAATTAGAAACCCTATAAAAGTATAAATTTCAGAGTTTAGTAAAGAGTTCAAGTAGAATTTGAAAGGGAACCAAATCCTAAACAGAAAACAAGGGATAATTATTTCTACTGCTGTTCAAATGTGAAGTACGAAGTATGATGACCCGAACGGTAGGTGACCCTATCTACACCTCTTGTGAAAAATAAATAAATAAACTGCAAAAGTTTAAAAATTTAGGGGGAGATTTTAGAAGTATAGAGTTCAAGGAAAATTTAGTAGGGACCGGAAGCCAACCCTAAACAGAAAACAAGGGATAAACCTCTACTCCTGTTCAAAAGAGCAAGGAGGTATATGAATCAAGCGATAGGCGAACCTAACGCATCTACTCATTCACACACACACACACACACACACACACACATATATATATATATATATATATATATATATATATATATATATATATAAAAGTTTTTCCCAATTTTACCTTTCCTGAAAGAATAACTGATTTCCCAAGCCAACATGCACAACAACAAATATACTGAAAAATCAAAAGAAAACAATTAAATCCATCACTTCAGCCTTTGAAAATGCACATCAGATAAGTTTATCTTATACCATAACAATCTAATCATAATACAAGGAATATTCATTTTTAAAAAAATATTTTCACTTTACTTTTCACTAGACTTTGAATTCGGACACAGCCCTCCACATGTTTTGACTGACCTTTCAACCACCTGAACGTTCTCAAATTTACAAGCTTTGGTAAACCAATGACATCCTCGCCTCTGTGTATATAAACACGTGCAGCATAATAAATTCTACATTGCCCTGATAAAGACCCTCAAAGGACAAAGGGCATCAGCTAAGTATGTTTTTTTTTTTCTCTTGTCTCTTTTTATTCATTTTGTCTTTTCTACGGATACACTCCTTCTGAGAATATATATATATATATATATATATATATATATATATATATATATATATATATATATATATATAGGAAGAAATATAGTCTTAAGATGTGCTATATTTATAGGATAAAGTGCTCAATATCGGATATAGAGCGTGGGTAAATATAAAAGTGAACATTGAAGTCAACACAACACTTAGGGCTGACTACCCGACTCCGTTTTTTACGGGGTCTACGGAGAATTTTTGACCGAGTCTACCGGCTCGGATACCCCTCTGTTAAATTCGGCCTTGTGCCACACCTGACCGCATGGGGCGGTTGACATATATTCTTGCTTCGGTAATTAGGTGGAGATTCGACTCCAGCTGTGCTAGTCGAACTCTCTGCCTTCGTGCGGGGAGGAACCCAAACGTGGCTTTGCTGAACGGCAAAATCTCGTCTGGGGTGGTAGACAGCTACCCGACGGGGAATTTTTGCCCGAGCCCACAGGCTCGGTTTTACCCTGCATTAAAAAAGGCCTTGTGCAACATTCTTCCTCGCTGTGAGGTAAGGTAAATAACATTGCTTCGGGCATTACTAGCCTGCTGACCGATTCCCTGACTTACAGCAGTGTATTCTCTTTTACAACAAACCTCTCTTTCTTTCATCTGCGACCGTGTTGCTGTTCCTTTCACTCGAGTACCACATTTGTTTGTAACCTTTTAAGGATACAATATATATATATATATATATATATATATATATATATATATATATATATATATATTGTCATCCACAGACAGACTGTTTCAATGTATCACGGCTCATCAGTGTGGCTAGACGTCCGGTTGCCTCGAGCTATGATAGAAACCCGACTGAATTGGCGTCAGTTGGGGATTCTACTAAGCCGTTGGCACACAGTAGGGATGAAGGTGAATTTAAGCTTATTTATTGTTAGATAAACACACAGTGACTGAGAGGACTCGATTCGCTCTTACCGAAGAGTCTTGCATTATCAGCCGTAATAGTCACTGTTTACAAACCCACACTTCCTCCCCAGAGATCTCAACCGAAATAAATTTTTCAGGAGCATATTGGAAAATTTCATGACAAAGTGTAAAAAGTTTACTTGTGACGCGTTTTATCCTTAAAGATTTCATCGGACTAATTTTGTTATGTTTGTAGGACTACGCATGCGCACAGCAGAGGGGTGCTGGGAATTTTAGCATTTTTTTTTTTTTTTTTTTTTCACTGTGAAATACCTACTTTCAAAAGTGATGGAAAGAAAAAGGTAAAGACTCTAAATGAATTCGGCTAAAAAAAATTTTTTTAATTATAAAAAAAATATTTTCTAAAAAATGAAACTTTCCTACCATTTCTAAGATATATACTGTTGGTTTTCTGTAGTGAAAATAGATAAGGTACCGACTACGAAGAATTACCTTGGATCATTTTGTTAGTGCGGCCTGCCTTGCATGGTGAGCCATAGATCAAGCGACCCACTGCTCGGAAAGATTGCTTATGCCTCTTTTAAACGATATGCAATTTCCTGAATACAATGATGAATATCGAAAATCTGACTTTGATTAGATGGCTGACCAATTGATGTAAACGTGGATGTGTACGAGGTGTAGTGGATAACGGTTCGTGATGAGAAATCGGAGAAGCGAGTTCGAATCCCAGTCGTGTCCATTACATTCACTTACGAGCATATAGCGTTGGGTTGGTATGACTCTCCTTCTTCTCACCCACCCATTTAAATAGTTGAACGTGTATCTGGGGAAATCATTGTTATTCTCAAAATTATTAATACGATATTTATTGTCAAATTAAAATAATTTTTCTTGCGTTAAAAAATATTTCGGATTTAAATAATCTACAAAAAATTGACACTTTATTAAATATAGATGCATATCCATACTTTAAAAGATAGATAGATAGATAGATAGATAAGAAAAAGAAAAGTGATAATATGTATAATAAAAGACAACTTTTTTTACCATGACATTTCGTCTACTGAGGAAGGTCATGAGGATAATATGGGAATTTTGGGAAGTAGAGCAGAAATCTGTCTATATTTCTGAGATGAGGTATTATGTACAGTATGTACATTAGTCGGACTATTGTCCTTATCTTTGTCATATATTTGTCACAACGTTTCGGCCGTTGTACGCTCGGCCTTCTTCAATTGGTTGGAATATCGAACTGAACCCTTTATTTCGATCACTGGGGTAGACTGTTCTAGTTCCGTGCCATGTTTGATGGATGTCAGTTATCAGTTATCTCCTGCTAATTTTCCCTCTGAAAGTTCTCCACTGCCTTAACCAGGAATTGAACTCACCTTCTTTGGGTCTGTCACTGGATCTAACAAACGCCTCAAGGACACATGGCACAGTGGATGAAGGCGTTGGTTAGATCCAGTGACAGACCCAAAGAAGGTGAGTTCAATTCCTGGTTAAGGCAGTGGAGAACTTTCAGAGGGAAAATTAGCAGGAGATAACTGATAACTGACATCCATCAAACATGGCACGTGAAACTAGAACAGTCTACCCCAGTGATCGAAATAAAGGGTTCAGTTCAAAATTCCAACCACCTGAAGAAGGCCGGAGCGTACAACGGCCGAAACGGTGTGACAAATATGGCGACAAAGATAAGGACAATAGTCCGACTAATGTAAATACTGTAGAGGAGAAATGTAAAATTAAATTATGTATTAAATGTGGGAACGCTCTAAAATATACTTAAAGCTATCTGTGTAAGGAAAGCGTAAAAATACCACTGGGGATTAAACGCGTTGGTAAAGAAAAGTTAATCTTTTGCCTTCTAATCATTATATATATATATGTGTGTGTGTGTGCGTGTGCGTGCGTGTGTGTGTGTGTGTTTATGTATATATGCATATAAGTTGCTGGATAGATAGATAGATAGATAGATAGATAGATAGATAGATAGATAGATAGATAGACGTGATATTGAATGCAAAATTAGTTTTAAGAAAATCATTGTAAAACAAACAAAATCAATTGAATTTACAACGGTCACATTTAATTAAAATTGAAGTATAATTTATAATGTAATTAGATTAGTCTTGCATCTAAAAGAAACAAAAATATGAAATAGCTGAAATTAGACTTTGCTTTCAAACGCCCGCTTGACGCCGGATATTCTACATTGGCCTGTCTCTAAAGAATTTAAGGATGGGTCGGATACTAAGCAAAAATATTCATGGCCAATTTTATTTCCGTCGAATTAATGCCAGCGGAATTGATTCAGTTGCCAAATATGGTTAGGCTAGATGTAATTACGATCCAAGAAAGATTATACAATATGAAATTAATGTTAACACATTCGTCATTGTACCAATGATAAGTTCTTACTAAATATAATTACGACAGTCAAGTCAGTTTAGGCTTCTTTCCCGCGGGTTGGTTACGTGATCTTTGGTATTCTAAACCAAACAGAAGGATAGATTGTAATTATGTATATAACTTTCCACTAATGAAGCAATATATATATATATATATATATATATATATATATATATATATATATATATATATATATATATATATGTATATATATAACTGAGACATTACTCTATATATTGAACAATTTAGTTCATGTCGAATTGCTTGATAAACTCCTACAACAACAACAAAAATTCTCAAATTGCCATATCAGTAAAAAAAACGCACTCTTTTAAATTTTCAAAAAATTCAACCTTAGCGTTTGGACTGCACGCTTCAAAAGTTTATATCTGTTAACAATAACACATTTAAAAAAACATATTTCGATTCGAATTTAATTTTTTCGTCTCGGATGCTACCTGAATTTTACCAAAAACAAAATAATTTCCATCCCTGAAGATGACTGAATGTAGAGTTGAAAGTACTTGCGTATTAAAGAAAGACCTTATACAGCTTATAATTTTTAAAAATAAGGATGATATCATTCATCGAGTGATTGGTAGGTTAATGCACCTTTAAAATTCTGTTCTCGAAGGGATTTCACCATTTTATATCATTAACTTTACTAATCTATTTTTGTAGGAATGATTCATTATAATATAAATTGAACTGCACCACATATATCGGCATTCACAGACTGTTTCGCTATATCACAGCTCATCAATGTGGCTAGACATATATATCTGTGTGTGTATGTGTGATTTATATATGCGATTGAATACATATATATGGTTACGGTAAAATTATCTATCGTTAATATATATGATGGGAGTAGAGATTAAGCGTTTTGCGAATCAGGTTTCATCATGTTAATGTCAATTTCTTTCTTGTGAAATACAATCATTTTACTGATGAAGACAGATAATAGTCGAAACATGTCAATGTAAAAGTCATCGATATACATATATGGTTTTGTGTAGTAAAATTACTTCACTCATGAAGCCTGATAATAAAAATTCCAATACATACATGTTGTATCAAAAGTACTTTTACAAACTTCCTCACGCCAAAACAAGAACAAATGTTTATATAAACATATGTCCACAAATCCTTCATTTTTCAATTGTTAAGTTTAAAGAAAGCTTACGATAGATAGCGCTATGTTTCGATTAGGACTAGGTTACATTTGTCATTCGTGTACATTTGTGGCGAATCTGTCTTCAACGTATAACGTGTGTAGTAGTGAGTTAACTGAGAAGTGTTCCGTTTAACTATGGCAGGATATTCATGTCGGGAGCAGGCAGATATGATTTTTACATACGTTCACGCAAATAGTAATGGGCGCGAGGCTGCACGGCTGTATCAGATTGTGTTTCCGGACCTAAGCAAACCAAGTCATCCAACATTTGCTGCTGTTTATCGTCGCGTTGCTGAGATAGGATCCGTAACACCAACATCTTCTCGAGGAAGACCGAGATTCGCTCGTACACCTGACTACGACAAACACATTCTACAGGCTTTTGGAGTTGATCCAGGTATCAGGCCGTGTCAAGTGGCCCTAGCGCGACATACATCTCAGTATTGCATTGGGTTTACTTCAAGAACACATCCTGTATCCATATCATTTGCAACGTGTGTAGGGTATTTCGCCCTCTGATCACGGGAGAACTTTGGCCGATGTTTTATTTCACAAACTGCCGATTTGTTGTTTATATATATATATATATAACAAGGCTAATGTTTAAGCCTTTTTATTATATCCTTACTCGGTCCTGGACATTGAGTTCTACCTAGATTCTATCCTCTTGGAATTATTTTTTATACATATATATATGTATGTGTATGTCTGTATGTATATATATTTATATATTTTAGATATATGATTGCATATGTATGTGTATATTAACCACTAATATTATATATATATATATATATATATATATATATATATATATATATATATATATATATATATGAAGTCAAAAATGACTGCACCACATGATTGACATTTAAATTGAAGTAGAAACTGTATCGCATATTCAATGCTGATAGATGTTTCGAGCCTTCTATTCTCTTCTTCAGACAGATATTTACATTGATTAAGTTCGACTGGCAAAGTAGAATGCAAACTTGTAGCTGATAATAATTTAATATGTCCTGTGAGTGTCAAATTTTCAAGACCTTCTTTTCTCATGTGCTCCAGGAATTTCAACGATCCCTTTCCCATTTGATGTTCTTTTTTTTATCATTTCACTCCAAACAAACGATAAAAGCTGCTAAGAAGTAAAGGGTTATTGAATGTAAAAGAAATAGAAAAGAACAATAGAAGAACAGGCTTCAGTGAAACAGAAGATGATGATCGAGATTGCATTTAAATTTCTGAAGATCGTAGCTGACAGAAAAGCAAGAAGCCAGAAGAGATTTCCACGATCAGGTAAGTGCAGAAGAAAAAACAATTAACATATAACTTTATGTTACAACTATCAATTTTAACAGTGGAATTATGAAACCTATCAGCCAGTCTAGTACTGCGCTTAAATTCTTGAAATGGGAGGACGAAATAGAAAAGCTCATCAGAATAGTTTCCTTGGAAGAATTGATAGAAAAGGCACAACAAAGCTGCATTACGACAGTTGGAAAGTGACTGAAACCGAGATGGCATATCATGACCGATAATATTGCAGATTCTCCTTTTGGACTTCATCAAGAATGGACGAATGGTAGACTTATAAATGTGCATGAGAGATTCTGGGAAGAAAAATTGTTTAGCATGTGATAGTGAACCGACTTTGCTCGCAGCAGACTATATATATATATATATATATATATATATATATCGTGAATATATTGTATTGATACGATATATTCGTTCCACTTCATGTTTTTGGAAAATGTGTGACCAAGATGTTCTCATAGAGGTTAGCATTAACCAGGCTGATGAAAGTCAAAAACGTACTGATGAATAAATGTCCGTTCTCTCAAATGTGAGTCGGCCAAATGTCCGGCCACGAAATTAAATGCTAATTGTTTTACTTTTAGTATTTTGTCTTGCAGGCAAGATGTTTCTTAGATTATATAGAATGCCACGTATTCTTAGTGAGATCTCCTTTCTATTCTTTGCGAGATCTCGTTTCTGTTCTTTGCGAGATGTCTTTTATTTTCGATACTATATAATAGAGAACTTTGTTAAAATGATTTCTTGTTCATTACTGTCAAAAAAAAACCCTGGGACTGATTGGTACATAAGTCTTGTATACGGAATCTTCTTAACCCCAACTCAAAAGGTGACCTATTAACCAAATCGACCTATATACAGTAAGTTTTAAATGTTCTGCGATAGATATGATATATAGATGTGTTAGTATTGGATTTATATTTGGCATGGAGGTATTTCGTACTGTCTGCAGTTTCGAAGGGGTGTGCGGGGGGGGAGGTAGACGTTTTCCTTTCCTTCCAATTTCATTGAATATATTCGTTTTCTTTCTTTCCTTTCTTTTATCAAATAAAATACACAACGCATCCCGTCTCTCTCTCTAGTAACCCCTCCCTTACACAAACCTTGATAGTTTTATTCTTATATGTCGCCTCCCTCCCCACACCATTTCCCTTTGTCCCTCCTTTTCGATGTTCTTCACTCTATCCTCAGTTTCTATAGCCAGCCAATTTCTGTTGCTCCCCCCATATCCCCCCAAATCTCACGCTGCCTTTTTGACATGATTGACAGCACAATAGTTAAGCGGACACTTAAAACCGATCGATTTTGGTAAAATTGCATTGAGTATCACCCCTCGTCTCGACCCACTACCCTGAAACTCATGGACATGCGTATGTGCACCAATGCAACTACTCCTACAAGCCTGTGTATATGAGTATATCCAGTGACAATGACAGAAAAACCTCTTAGGAAGAACATGATTCAGAGGCACGATCGGAGGGCCGCCTATTGGGAGCCGGCGCGGAACTCGACTACATGAGCGACGCAGATAAAATGATAGGAAGGTGAGCGATACAAGAAGAAAAAGAAGAGCAGAAAGATCTGGAAGAAGAAGAAGAAGAAGAAGTAGAAATATAGAAGGAGGAAGAAAAAAGAAAGAGGCTCATAAAGAATAAAATGAGGGAAACGAGAAGGAAGATCAGGAGCAAAAAAGAATAGGAAAGAAGAAAAAGGAGGAGTTGAAGGGAGAGGAAGAATGGGAAAGAAGAAAAAAACAAGAGAAGTATGAAGAGGAGAAATAATGATAAAAGAAGAAAAGGAGGAGGAGGAGAAGAGAGGAAGAATGGGAAAAGAAGAAAAAGAAGAGGATGTGGGGGAGGGAGAAGAGGGGAAGAATGGGAAAAAAGAAGAGGAAGAGGAAAGTGAAGCGGAGGAAGAATGGGAAAAGAAGAGGTGGAGGAGGGTGAAGATGAGGAAGAATGGGAAAAGAAGAAAAAGAAAGAGGAACAGAAAGAACAAAATTAAAAAGAAAGGCGATGTGCCGGAAGATCAGGTGCAAGAAAAAGTGGAATAGAAAAAGAAGTAAAAGAAAGAGAAACACGTAGAAGAAGGATGAAAAAAGAAGAAAAAGATCAAGAAAAAAATAGAAAAAAAGAAAAGAAGAGAAGAAGGAAGAGCAGAAGAAGGGTGGTAAGGAGGAAGAAGAGGAAAGAGAAAGAGCATGAATATCATGAAGAAGAAGAAGAAGAAGAAGAAGAAATGAAGAAGAAATTAATGCAAAAAGATTCGAACTAAGGAATGTTAGAAACGAGGTGTGAAAGGAAAGTTGTGATGACGACGACAAGGTGCAGGGAAAAAGAAAAGATGAAAGAAAAATCTTGAAGGAGGAGGAATAAAACGAGGCGAAAGAAAGAAAAAAGTCAAGTAGATAAAGGAAAGAACGGGAGAAGAGAGAATGAAAGAGTAAAGGGTAAATGTTAAAAAAAAGAAAGATGAAAGACGAGCTGGACTGAATGAAGGAGGTAAAAACAAGCGTGTATCAAGGGAAAACGAAGAAGAAGAAGAAGAAGAAGAAGAAGAAATGCAATAATTCCAATGCCATTCGTCCTGTGTCCCTTGCAGCGGTAAATGGCATCAAATTACCTACAATTACGAGACGCTAGCCAAACGTAGAATATGTGGAAGTGGCGGACGGGAATAGCGAGGTGCCTTCATCAAGAGAGAAGCAGAGATGGTGATGGCTAAGTGAGAGAGCCCGACAGTGATCTGTGCATCTGTAAGACAGTTTCAAAATGACAAGTGATAACAATGGCCGAGCCCAGATCGAGAATTAAGGGGTGGATGGATGGATGGATGGTTGGATGGTAGGACATGTTAACAGCGAACAGGACACACACAGACGGACACATATGTGCGCATATAGAAGCAAATACACACACTTATATACCTGC